AATATATATATATATATGTATATATATATATATAAAATATATTGCTATTCTTACGGTGACTTCAAACAGGTGAAAAATGAAAACAGTTTCAATTGTTAATGGCACTTTTGAAGTCATCAGATAGCGTTTCATAAAGTGGTTATGGCATTCACCATGCATGGGCGTCGATCGGTGGGGGACAGGGGACACGTCAAAGTCCGGGGGACATCATATCAATTTCTTTTCTATATTATTAGGACCAGTATATACTATTGTTTAATATTGTCTGCATACATAGATTCCTGTTTTCTTAATTTCAAACAATTATAGTTATTCATTTGAATTTTATATAGCCGTTATTAAACAATAATTATACAGCCTTGAAAAGCATGATACCACAAGTATACGAACTCCAATTTTACGTTGACGCAATCTTGCCATGACGTCATGATAATGATAAATTAAATGAATCACCTATATGTTTGTGAAATAAAAACGCTAATGTTTTGTGTGCTTCCTATCTCCAAGTCCTGTTTGATCGTAAATTAAACGGCAGTATTTTTACTCACAATATTGTATTTGTATATAATACTACTTGCACAAAATAGAATTCAAAAAGAGAAGAAAAAGAAAAACCTTATTAAAAATTAGAGTGACTGTTTGAAGATTACGCCCTCTATCTCATTTGTTTTTCATGGTTCGAATACGTCACAAGCTAATTAGTAGATAATAAATCTTTATTTTTATGAATGTTAGTTTGTACAAAATATATAAGCGGTCATGATTATAATTTCCAGTATAAATTGAAAAACTTTTTATGATGAGTATTTCAGTAGCAGATTCAAGGGGGCCTAATCCGCCCATCCTCCCTATTTTGTTTCAAAATTCTAAAGTGGCGAAAAGAGAAAATTATATTCAAATTAAGTTTGAGACTGCCATTTCCGGCCAACTAGAGGTGCCATAATCATAAAATTTTGAAATTTGTATGTTGTATATAAAAAGCGGTTTATTTGTTTTATGTACATCTCGAATTATTCTTATAGCTACAGTGTCTCTTACACGGACGTCGGCGCCGAACGTGTAGTCGTTCGCCGTCCCAGGATTCCTCTTAACGGATGCTTGACACTTGACGTCATATATGATGCGAGAGTTCATACGCTCCCTAAAGTGGTCGTCGTGTAGTAATTTGTAGACCAAAACCAACTGGAAAATAATAATCAATGAGAAATATAAACATGGGCATGCGTAAAAATGGCTTTCTCGCTAGATAAGACAAAAAAATTGGTAAACCTAAATTCGCCTTTATCAAGCATTCAGGTATGATTTCATGACCAATGTCCAGTTTATCTCGTAGACCACTTAGATTTCCGAAGAACCAATACCAAACCAGGGGAAGCTCATAAGTTTTGTGTCCCAATAAATAAGAGCATGGCCACAAACTGTTTTTATTATATTTGTGTTACAAAATGGTACCGTCTCCCAATAGATGTTAAGGAATGTAATAACTTGAAAAGGTTTAAATATGCATGTAACATTTATATTAAACAGTCTGCCATTAACCTAGAAACTTCCCCGTAATATTCTACTAATGTATTCCTATTTTAAAATTTTAAAAATAAAAGTTAAATTATTTGCATATTTATGAGGACTCCTTAAATGGAGTTACGACATCATTTGTGACTTATCCTCGTTGTTCCTACTGCTTATTATCACGATAGTTTTAAAGTTGTATCTTTAATGTTATCGAATCGATCTCTTGTATTTTAATCTATGATAATATCTTCTATTCTTGTATCTTACGAACCAAATAAATTAAAAACAATCAATATATTAACCTAAATTGTAAATTTTAATGAAGGAAGTAAGTAATTGAATATATATATATATATA